CCCATGACTACAACCCTGTGACTTCTGCACCTTTCCAGTATCTGCCTCCCAATCCGCTCCTCCACTTCTCTGCAATTATTAGGGGGTCTGTTAAAAAAAAAACCCCAACAAAGTGACTGCTCCTTTCGTGTTCCTGACCTCAATCCAAACTGACTCTGTGCACGTCATTCTCGAACTGCCTTTCAGTAACTGCTATTCTCGCCCTGACTAGCAATGCCACTCTGCCGCCTCTTTTACCACCCTCCCTATTTCTTTTAAAGCATCTAAATGCCGGACGTCTAACAACCATTCCTTTCCCTGAGTTAGCCAAGTTTCTGTAATGGCCACAACATCGTAGTTCCAAGTACTGACCCATGCTCTAAGTTCATCTGCCTTATTTCCGATACTTCTAGCATTGAAGTATACACATTTCAAACCATTCCTCTGTCCAGAATTACGCTCCATCGACAGCATTTCTTTATTAACAACCTCACTCCCTGCTGTGTCTGTTGGAAGGCTGAATACCTCATCCTCTGAATTACAAATCCGGTTCCCCACCAGCTGCCAATCTAATTTAAACCATCCCGTATAGCTCGAGCAAACCTCCCTCCCAGGATATTTGTGCCCTTCCGGTTCAGGTGCAACCCGTCCTTACTGTACAGGTCCCACCTTCCCCAGAATGTGCTCCAATTATCCACATAATGGAAGCCCTCCCTCCTATACCAGCCTTGTAGCCACGTGTTTAGCTGCACTCTCTCCCTATTTCTTACTTCTTATCACGTGGCACTGGTAGTAATCCAGAGATAACTACCCTGTTTGTCCTGGACTTCAGCTTCCAACCTAACTTCCTGTACTCGTTTTTCACATTCTCTGTCCTTTTTCTCCCTCTGTCATTGGTACCGATGTGTACCGTGACTGCTGGTTGCTCACCCTCCCCCTTAAGGATCTTGAAGACATGATCCGAGACGTCATGGACCCTGGCACCCGTGAGGCAACATACCATCCGTTCGTCTTGTTCGCCTTCACAGAACCGCCTGTCTGTGCCTCTAACTATTGAATCCCCCTCTACAATCGCTCTCCTATTCTCCCCCCTTCTCTCCTGAGCCACAGAGCCAGACCCTGTACCAGAGACCCAGTCCCTGTGGCTTACCCCTGGTTGGGCCACCCTCCCTCACTCCCCTCCCCCCGCCCACAACACTATCCAAAACAGTATACTTATTGTTGAAGGGAATGACCACGGGGGATCCCTGCACTGACTGTTTCCTTCCCTTCCCTTTCCTTACTGTCACCCAACTGCTTTCATTCTTAGGGTAACTATGTCCCTGTAACTCGTTTCTATTACCAGCTCAGCCTCCTGAATGATCCTGTGTTCATCTAGCTCCAGCTCCAGTTTCCTACCGCTGTTTTTGAGGAGCTGGAGCTGGGTGCACTTCCCACAGGTGAAGCCAGCAGAGTCACTGCTGTTGACTCTTACCTCCCACATCCTGCAGGAGGAACATTGCACTGCCCTGACTGCCATCCCCTCTGTATTTAAACTTCCCCGAAAGATTTGTAAAAAGTAGAGAATAACTTACTTACCCTTTAATTCTTAGGTTAGAGGAGTTGGAAGGATGGGAGACACCATTCTTGTAGGGTCTCGGGTTTCGATTCCGCCCAAACTATATTTCCCAGGGTGCTCTCGCTCCCGGTCTCCTCCTCCTCCGCCGCCAAAAATGAAGGCCCCGAAGCACTAACGATAAGTTATTATACTCGCCGCTTACCCTCCCAGCAGTCCCCTCGCACTCTCTCCCGACTCCCGCCGCTGCACAAATGGAGGCCGCAGACTCACGAGGTAAGTCTTTTAAACTGAAGTGCTTACCTTCCCAGCAGTCCCCTCGCGCTCTCTCCCGACTCCAGCCGCTGAACAAATGGAGGCTCAGATACTTGAGAGACTTTTAAGCGACTCTTGGATAGACACAGGGAGGATAGTGAAATGTAGGGTACGCAGGGTCGTTTGATCTTAGTAGGATAATAGGTCGGCACAACATCGTGGGCTGAAGGGCCTGTACTGTGCTGTACTGTTCTATGTTCTATGTTCTAAAACCTGACCTCCTCTTCGGATATAAAGCAGGGTAAATGATAGAAGTGTTAGTGGAGGAGCATTTTGGGACTAGTGACTATAATTCCATTAGTTTTAAAATAGCTATGGAAAGAGATGGGACTGGTCCATAAGTTAAAGTTCTAAACTGGGGCAAGGCAAATTTTGATGGTCATAGACAGGAACTTTCAAAAGCTGATTGGAGGAGTATAGAGAATGTTAGAGTACACTTAATAGAGAAATCAGGAGGGCTAAAAAGGGACATGAAATGGCTATGGCAGATAAGGTGAAGGAAAATCCAGAGGGATTTTACAAGTAAATGAAGGGCAAAAGAGTAACGAGGGAGAGAATAGGGCCTCATAAAGTTCAACAAGGTTGTCTGTGTTTGGAGCTACAAGATTGGGTGACATCCTGAATTAATATTTCTTGTCAGTATTTACTATTGAGACAGGCATGATTTCAGTTTTGCTAAGGTTCCTTGATGCTATACTAAGTCGAACGCAGTCTTGATCTCAAGTGCTGTCACTCTCACCTCACCTCAGAAATTAAGCACTTTTGTGCATATTTGCACCAAAGCTGTAATAAAGTAAAGAGCTGAGTGGCCCTGGTGGAACCCAAACTGGGCATCAGTTGGTCATGGCTTACATTAACTCTAGCCTCCCAACCTTCCTCGATTCCCTGCAATTTCCCTACCGATGAAACAGGTCCACAGCGGACACTATTTCCCTAGCCCTACACTCACCCATGGAACATCTGGATAACAAGGACACCTATGTCAGACGCCTACTCATCAACTAAAGCTCTGCCTTCAACACCATAATCCCCTCCAGACTAATCTCAAAACTCTTGAGACCTAGGTTATTTAAAGTTTTGGCAAAGATCTGTAGCTCGGGTTATGGGTGAGGTTGTTGACTTGCTCGCCAAGCTGGCTTGTTTTTGTTTAAATGTTTCGTCACCATGTTAGGTGATATCATCAGTGGAGCCTCTGATGAAGTGATGTTATTCTACTCTGCTTGGAATTTATACTGTCCAGTCCGTTATGGTGAGTGCTGTCATTTCTGGTTTTGATCTGTATGGGTTTGTATATGAGGTCCAATTTTACATGTTTGTTGATTGAAGTATGGGTGGAGAACCATCCCTGTAGGAATTCCCATGTGTGTCTATGTTTTTGGCTTGGGCTACTGTGGTTACTTTGTCCCAATTAAATTGATGGCCTTCATTGTCTGAATTTACCGATATTAAGGAGAGTTCATCGTGCAGTTTTGCTGCTAGCTGATGTTTGTGTATTCTGATGGCTAGTTTCCTTCCTGTCTGTCCGATATAATGTTTGTGGCAGCCATTGCATGGTATTTTGTAAACCAAGTTGGTTCTGCGTGTTGTGGGAATGGGGTCTTTAATCCTTGTAAGTGTTTGTCGTAGAGTTGCAGTGGGCTTGTGGGCCACCATGATTCCTAGTGGTCTTAAGAGTCTTGTTGTCATTTCCAGTATGTTCTTGATGTATGGCAGTATGGCCAGTGTGATAGGGCGTACTGTGTCCTCCTGTTGTTGTCTGTTTTGTAGGTATCTATGGATGAAATTGTGAGGATATCCGTTTAAAGCGAGGATCTTGTATAAATGTTCTTCCTCTTTCCTGCGTAGTTCTGGAGTGTTGCAGTGTGCCCTGGCCCATTTAAATAGTGTCCTAATGCACCTTTGTTTGTGGACATTGGGGTGGTTGCTATGGAAGTTGAGGATTTGACCTGTACGGGTTGCTTTTCTTTATACTAAGATTTGGAACTCCCAGTTTGTCGATCACTCTACTTATTAAAGATGAATCACAGGGATTAAATTCACAACTGAAGAAGAAAACAACAATCAACTTCCATTTCTGGATGTTACATTCTCTGTTACCATGTCCTGTCTGCCCTCCCCACATCCCAGTGGGACTGTTCTTTCCAGTCTGGCAGCTAGAGACAGCATTGTTCTGCCATTCTCACATTTCAGTCACTTAATTTGAACTATCAACATCTTTTCTGCGCCAGCACCCTATTCCCACCACCCCTCCCTCCCAACTATAGCATAAATACTGTCCCCTCCACACTTCACTTCAGCTCTGATGAAGAGTCATCCAGACTTGAAATGTTAGCTTACTCTCTCTCTGTGGATGCTGTCTGACCCGCTGTGATCTCCAGCATTTGTTGTTTTCGGTACAGATTCCAGCATCTGCAGTAATTTGCTCCTAAAGTTTTTCACTGAACTTAGATACATGTGACTATAATAAATCAAATCAAATCAGTGAACCTTCTTGGAAATAATATCTTTTGCTCACTCTTCCAAAAGTATTCTTGACCTCTTTGAAAGAAGTCACTTTCACAAATTTGAAACCTGTCTATTTTACTTGTGCTTTAAAATCTAAATTCCCAAATGATAATATGCTAAACACCTTTATTTAACAGCCCCAACTTTAAAAGGATGGCTCCAGATTGTATTGATCTATGTGTTGAATGCAATCAATAATTGAGTATCTACAGTTTTCTGTGGTAGAAAGTTTAAAAAGATAATTAAATTGTAATCATAGAACAGTTTTGTTTCAAAATAGAATGTTATCTTATTGTTTTGCTGCATCAATATCACTGTACCCCTGAAATATGAATAAGAAAAATTCACTTTGCACTCCTTTTGACAGGAAAGATATAAAAGGGACGTAAGGGTCAAATTTTTCACACAGAGGGTGGTGTGTGTATGGAATGAGCTGCCAGAGGACATGGTAGAGGCTGGTACGATTACAACGTTTAAAAAGGCATCTGGATCAGTATATGGATAGGAAGGGTTCAGAGGCCTATGGGCTAAATGTTGGCAAACGGGACTAGATTTACATCGGATATCTGGTCAGCATGGACAAGTTGGACCAAAAGATCTGTTTCTGTGCTGTACATCTCTATAATTCTATGACTCTACCTGGCAGGTATCGCCTGTCTCCCCTTCCATGTGAGTATCTACAGCCCCGGGCTTCCATGTTAACAGTAAGGTTGTACCATGGATCAGCAACTGTAAAGGACTGTCGTATGTTGGACTGTGACTTTGTTTCATGCGTTGAGTTGTAAGTATTTATACCAAAGGGAATAATTGCCAAGTAAACCTATTTTCATCGTTTTGGTACATTTATTTAGCAGCTGAAATGGAAAATATACATGTATGGAATTTTTTAAAAAGTTATTCATGTGATGTGAGAGTCATTGGCCGGGCCAGTATTTATTGCCTGTCCCAGTTGTCCCTTGATTTTTGTGGCTTGCCAGGGCCCTTTCGGAGGGCAATTAAGAGTCAATCACATTATTGTGGATCTGGAGTCACATGTGGGCCAGACCAGATAAGGATGGCAGATTTCCCTCCAAAAAAGACTTAGTGAATTACTTGGATTTTTACGACAACCAACAATAATTACATGGTGTTAATTAGTTTGTGAAATGGATGGTGATGAGAACGTGAGAACATAAAAAATAGGAGCAGGAGAAGGCCATATGATCTGCGATACTGGAGATATTGGGCTTCAACTCCATTTTCCCACCCGTTCTTCCAAGCCGTGATTTCCTTAGAAATGGAAAATCTTTCTGATTTGAAGAAGAATCAAATTGGACTTAAAATGTTAACCCTGTTCTCTCTCCACAGATATTGTAAGATTTGCTGAGATTTTCTAATACTTGTTTTTTTCAAATTTCAAAAACCTGCCCACCTCAGCCATAAATATTTTCAAGATTAGAATATACAACTGTTTGAGGTGGAGAATTCCAAAAGATCCACAAACTTTCGAGTGAAAATATTTCTCCTGACCTCAGTTGTAAGTTTGTAATTGGACTGAGTGTGTAAGAAAGTCAAAATTTTGATTCTGTGCAAATCTAATTTTTTTCTGTAAACTTAGAGACATAGAAAATAAGTGCAGGAGTAGGCCATCTGGCACTTCGAGCCTGCCCCACCATTCGACATGATCACGGCTGATCATGCAATCTCAGTATCCAATTCGTGCCTTCTCTCCATACCCCTTGATCCCTTAAACCATGTCTAGCTCCCTCTTGAGTGTATGTAAGGAACTGGCCCCAGCAGCTTCCTCTGGGAGAAAATTCCACAGGTTCACAACTCTGAGTCAAGAAATTCTTTCTCATCTCAGTCCTGAATGGCTTACCCCTTATTCTTATACTGTGACCGCTAGTTCCCGACTTCTCCACCATCAGGACATTCTTCCCACATCTAGCCTATTCAGTCCCATCAGGATTTTGTTTCTATGAGATCCCTCCTCATTCTTCTAAATTCCAGTGAATACAAGCCCAGTTTGATCCAGTCTTGCCTCACATGTCAGTCTTGCCATCCCAGGAGTCAGTCTGGGGAATCTTCACTGGACTCCCTCAATAGCAACAATGTCCTTCCTAAGACTAGGAGACCAAAACTGCACACAATACTCAAGTGTAGCCTCAACGAGGCCCTGTGTAACTGCAGCAAGGCATCCCTACTCCAATACTCAAATCCTCTTGCTATGTAGGCCAGCATACCATTAGCTTTCCTCATTGCCTGCTGCATCTACATACCAATCTTCATGAACTGTTCCACCATGACACTGAGGTCTTGTTGCACCTCAAATTTTCCTAAACTGCCACCGTGCAGATAATAATCTGCCTTCCGGTTTTTGCAACCAAAGTGGATAACCTCACATTTATCCGCATTATATTGTGTTTGTCAAGTATTTGTCCACTTAGCCAGCCTGTCCAAGTCACCCTGCAACCTCTTACCATCCTCCCCTCAGCAGACACTGCCACCCAGCTTTATGCCATCTGCAAATTTGGAAATATGGAATTAAATTCCTTTGTCCAAATCATTAATGTATATTGTGAACAGCTGGGGTCCCAGCACTGAACCCTGCGGCAGTGCACTCATCACTGCCTGCCACTCTGAAAAGGTCCCATTTATTCCGACTCTCTGCTTCCTGTCTGCCAACCAGTTCTCTATCTTTGTCAGTACATTACCTCCGCTATCATCAGCTTTAATTTTCCTTACTAATCTCTTGTGTGGGATCTTGTCAAAAGCCTTTTGAAAGTCCAGGTACACAACATCTACTGATCCAGCCTTGTCTGCTGTACGGGTCACATCCTCAAAAAATTCCAGAAGATTTGTCAAGCATGATTTTCCTTTCGTGAATCTGTGCTGTCTAGGATCAATTGTCACCATTTTCCAAATGCTCAGTTATTATATCCTTAATAATTGACTCCAGCATTTTCCCACCAGCAATGTCAAGCTAACTGGCCTATAATTCCCCATTTTCTCTCCCTCCTTTTTTAAAGAGTAGGGTTCCTTTAGCTACCCTCCAGTCCATTGGACTGTAAGCTGCATTTAACTGAAATCTACAGTTTATATTCTGTAGTTTCCACCTAAAGCAGGATTTTTAAAAAAGTCTTCATCCAAAGAGCATGTAGCTGTAATTAACACCTAGCTCAAACAAGTTCCTCGGTAAGGGGATCAGCAAGGCCTTTTGTGTTAGGAACATATGAAACTGGCCCACTTAAGAAGATTGAGCACTTGACAATGCATTTCAGTGAAGTTCCACGTTAAGTTATTAAGCGAGTTAAAGAAAGAAAGGAAACTGGTGTTCCATTGCTTTTACCTTTCCTTGCCATTTCTTGCCATTGAGGAGTTGGTTTTTACCCAGCTGCAGGAAAGAAGTTAGTTATTTGGTGAGTATCTGGTAAATGACTAGTGTTTATTCATCGTGGAATAGCAACTGGTGGGAAGAACATTACATCACAGGACAAGGCCCCTCGGCCCACCAAGGTTATGCTGAGACATGATGCCTTTCTAAACTAAAAATCCTTTTCCTCTATGTGGTCCATATCCCTCCGTTCCCTGCCTCTTCATATATTTGTCAACATGCCTCTTAAACATTGCTATTGTATTCCCCTCCACCACCACTTCTGTCAGCACATTTCAGTCACTTACTGACCTCTGTGTAAAAACTTGCTTCTCACATCTCCTTTAAACTTACCCCTTTTTACCTTAAACCCATGTCCCTTAGTAATTGACATCTCTATCCTGGGGAGGAGACTCCGGTTATCTATTCTATCCACGCCTGTCATAATTTTGTGAATTTCAATCAGGTTGTCCTTCATCCTTTGATGTTGTCTGTTGGAAGGCTGAATACCTCATCCTCTGAATTATAAATCCGGTTCCCCACCCCCTGCCAATCTAGTTTAAACCATCGTTGAGGTTGGTTGGCTCGCCGAGCTGGTTTGTTGTTCCGCAGACGTTTCGTTACCAGGCGGGAAAACACACTGATGCTTCATCAGAGGCTGCACTGAGGATGTTACCAAGCACAGTAACGAAACGTCTGCAGAAAAACAAACCAGCTCGGCGAGCCAACCAACCTCAACACCCACAAGCCGAGCTACAAATCTACTCCAAAACCTTAGAGACCTACGGGCGCAACACGCTCAAACTGGCAAGGAAATGGGAAAACTACGCCAAACGAGAGAGCGCAACCCGCAAACAACTCTACTTCCTACATGGATGCCTCAGGAACCAGGTACTACCACGCAGTGTAAAGTACAAACCACCCATCAACAACCCACAGGCCTGGAAAACAGCAGAACAAAACAGCCGCAAGATGGTAAGGGTAATGATAAACGATGCACACGACCGGCTCCATAAATACAACAGAGAAATTATGCGCCAAAAAACGTTATTCCAGGAAGCTACCAATCAAGACTGGACAACCGACATGGAACGAGCCATTAACATCAGCCGACAGACCACAAGAGCCAAGAAAAGACAGACCCTGCAAGACAAGCTAACCACACTTACCCACAAAAGCGACAACAACAGAACTGACACATGGATAAGGAACCTCTCCGACAGGAAACTGACAGACGCGGAAAAAGCTATTCTCACCTGGGGACTGAACTACAACTACAGGGACGCCAACAAAACAGAATGGCTAGCTACACTGAAAGCCACACTAAAGACCAACAATATCAACAAAGAAACACAACAAACTATAAGACAGACAGTAGTCCTGACACTAACCAGAAAGAGGGAACTCAACACCGTCAACACACGGGAAAGACAAGCCCTGGACAGATTAAAGAAGGACAAGAACATCACTATACTACCTGCAGACAAAGGGCGCATGACAGTGATAATGAATAAAAAGGACTACATCTCCAAAGCACAAGCACTGCTCGCCGACGAGAACATATACTGGCCAGTACAAACTGACCCGACACCACAACTAGGCAACAAAATCATATACACGCTACAAAGACTTAAACAAACAGGACAGATCAACAAAGCAGACTTCTTAAGAATGAAACCCGAAGGAAACAACACACCCCGATTCTACGGCCTCCCTAAAGTGCACAAGCCGGAATTCCCCCTCGAACCCATAGTCTCCCTACCAGGCACTCCATCGCACAGATTAGCCAGAGAACTACAAAGCAGACTCAAGCACCTAGTCAACAAATCACCCCACTCCATCCACTCAGCCCAAGAATTCCTCAACTCCATCAAAGACATAAAGATAGAGGACGAAGAGACCATGATATCGTTTGATGTCACCGCCCTATTCACGTCAATAGACATACCACTAGCAAGGGCAACAATGACAACACTACTTGAACAAGAACACGACCCCAGTGAAATCATCTCCAAGGACAACATGCTTAAACTACTGGACCTATGCCTGACCACCCACTTCACCTTCAACGGCCAAACATACGAGCAAATCAACGGGACACCCATGGGATCGCCTATCTCCGGACTCATAGCAGAAGCAGTGATGCAAAGACTGGAAAGGACTGCCCTTCCGCAAATCCAACCTAAACTATGGATACGCTACGTCGACGACACCTTTGTCATCATTAAACGGACCAAATTAGAAGAAACACACAAACTCATAAACAACACCCTCACCGGAATAAAATTCACCAGAGAGGAGGAGAAGAACAAACAACTCCCATTCCTGGACATCATGGTAGAGCGCAAGACAAATGGGGAGCTGCAAACGAAAGTACACCGAAAAGCCACACACACAGACCAGGTATTGAACTTCAATAGTAACCATCC